GTTACAATGTTATATGTCTAAATCCCTGAGAGAGAACTGAAAGTGCTGAGCCATGACAGTGTGAGAAAGGAGTTTATATATGTAAAGTGAATCTACAGTTCATAAAAAGAGTCAAAGTTACAAAGAGTGTGATACAGTTGACCTAAGTACTTACAAATACCTATTTCCAAAACAGTTACAGCTTAAACAACTTCTTACTCTGTTCTTCAAATAAATCCTTTTTCTTTAAGTTTACCCCAGAAGCCTGATCCATTATTCCTCAGGAAACACATAGTTCCTCGAAAGCCAAGACCCTGGGTCACAATACCAAAACCAGAAGAAGAAAGTATAAAGGTTTGGAAAGCCTAAAATTTCCTGGTGGCAGCCAGATTACCCAGTAGAGTAAAATATAAAGAACGGTTTTAAAGTAAAACCAGACCTCCCCAGAGAAGAGGTCGTCACAGTTGTCCATTCACAGGAATATTTATTACTTGCTTTAGCACATACACAGAAACAAGCTTCATAGGAATGAACCACACATACAATGTTTTCTGCTGGATCCAGTTCACACAACTATATTTGGACTCTTTGGCCTACATTAAGCAATTATGTCAAAAGTTATAATGAGCAAGCCACATGTCATGTTAAAACTGGCTTCAAATCCGGTGTACTTCCTAAGTGCTACTCCTTGTCTAGGGGTCTGAATGGTTACAAACAACTGCTGTCTCTAGAAGACATGCAGCATTTCCTAGAGCTCCACAGCAACAGCTACAATTTATCCATTCAATACTTCATCACTATTAGCTACTGGCATGAAAAATAGCAACACTTCCTCTGTGAAAGCCGACACTCTAAACAGGATCAGCCGTTCCCCTTTGAAGGAGAAAGTTATTCCCACATACATAAAATAAGGAAAATCTGATGCATGAACTGACAACCTTTTGGAATGACATTCCAGTATACTTAAGAAACTAGAATTTCAGATTCTAAAGAGAGATCAGAACTATCTGAACATATGAACTGATGCACTGCCAATTCACACATTATACTTGCATCCATATGCAAACATGGAATTTATTCTTCTCTCTGCAAAAGGGAAGCATGACTGAGGCTCACTAATAATACCTAGAGAAGTTTTAGCATTTTTCCAGAGAAAGTTTAAACATTCTGCATGTGAGAACAGCACACATATTAAACTTAGTTCACAGGTTTCTGTAATTTCTGTTATGTGTGCTTGTAGCTTTAGGCACATTTTGGAAAGTAAAATGCATACTGTTTGGGGTATCTGCTGTGCCTCAGTCTAACACAGCATCATTAAAATAGCACACAGAAGCTGCATAGCTGGGCAGTACCACAGTTAAGGACAGGGGCAACATTTAGGCCACCGAAGCTACCAAAGAATCATAGCTAGCAAATGCAACTAACAAACAAATCCTTCCAAGAGCAAGTTGCTTCTGTTGATTCCACTAAGAACAGCAAGCAATTTTAAAGCTAGAAATGGGCCAACCAAAATCCTACAAATCCTCATCTGCTCTGATCACAAGCTTTTATAGGAAGTAATTAGTTATAAAAAAAAATCTACAGAAAGCAAGGAACAGATATCTAGCTCCAGTAACATTAATGTGCTTTGAAAGGAAGACCTAAATAATAAATATTAAAGGCTGCTATGGTTTATAAGAAGGGCTTACAGTAACATTCAAAACAACTGAACAGTCAAATCAATTTCCAGTCAACTTACATACTGTGGTTTCAAGCTAGCTATGACCTACATTCTTTAATGCGAAATGTAGGTCATGTGAAACAAAGTTATAGTTTAATACAGCCTTGACAATAACTATTCAGTGTTTTCTTCCCCTCTTGTTCCATTCAGAAGGCAGCAATACCTTTCTCCATCCCTGTACTTCTAGCAGCTCCTTTCCCTTGTGCAATAATGCCAGATACATCTCCATCAAAGCTATAGGAAGAAAGCCATACAGTCTCCATACCAGAATTCCACTATGGAGATGTTGCACTTCCCCTTCCAGTTACAGCCAGGAGCTCTTTTAGGAGAGCAAGAACCATACAGTCATTATGGCACAGCTCTGTCTCAATACAGAGCAACACACGGGAAGGGGGGTTACCAGAGCTCTAGCCCAACAGCAGGGACTTGTCAGGTGGCAGTTTTTAACAGGGACCCAAAGTGGTTTACACTGTTCTCCTCTCAAGAACCCTGTGAGGTAGGCTAGGCTGAGAAAGTGTGGCTCACCCAAGATCACCAGGCAAGCTTCCATGGTAGGGTGGGTATTTGAACCTGGGTCCTCCCAGGTGCTGGTCAAACACTCTAACCACTACAACCACATCGGCTCTCAGGGAAGGGATACAGCTTATTCCACCAGCACCACCGGTACCTTGTTGGAAGCACTAGAGGTCTAGGAGAAGACCGAGACGTTTGAAATATTTTTCATTTGGAATCACTGACATCCTTTCTGAGACAAGGTTTCACTCACTCAAGTACTGGGTGGTACAAAGATTTTTTTTTCTTTGTCGCAACTTACAGCACAGGATAACTCCTGTGTATACTGTATACACACACATACAGCACATGTTCAAGGACACATTTGATTAAATTGGGCTGATATAAATTATGGATAATATAACACTGTGCGCAAGGTAATACTATACTGAATGAGCTGACGTTTTCAGCGCCCAGATCTGCTGATATTCCTTACTGCTGTGACTGAATGAAGACTGTTGTGAATCCCTGATGTGTGCTGGGAGACAAACTCTGCAAAGTGTCCACAGTCACACACGTTCCTGACCTGTCTGGCTGACAACTTCCTTCGTGCATGGGTGGAGGAAGCTTCAAGGGGCTCAGCCGTACTCAGCTTAATATTGACCAACAGGCAGGAGATGATAGACGGGGTGAAGGTGGTGGAGACCTTGGAGGGAAGTGACCGTGTCCTGCTAGAATTCCTTTTGCGGTGGGGAACCAAGGAAGTTCGTAGCCACACCTATATGTTAGATTTCAGCAGGGCAGACTTTAATAAACTCAGAGGCATGATGAGAACCATTCCATGGGAAAGACTGCTGGAAGGGAAAGGAGCAAGTGAAGGGTGGGCTCTCATAAAACAAGAGCTCTGGCAAAGCTCAAGCCATCACTATTACAACAAGAAGGAAACTCTGGCTCCGGTCACACGGGCAGGAAACTGTGGGGGGGGGGAAGCGTGGCTGTTTGCCCTGGGGCAAGCGATCATCCTGTGGCGGTACCGTGGAGGTTCCGTGGGTAGGGAGAGGTGCCGATCACAGGACACGCCTGCACGCAACGAAGAAGCGTGCGGTGCGGCAAACTGGTTTTCTTTTTTTGTGTACACGACAAATGCGCATGCTCCGTTGGGTGCGTGTGCGCATCCACGGAGACTTGGGAAAAAAACAAACCTTTTTCACAAGGGGACATGGGTGGGCACCGGATGCCACCGGAAACGCGATCAGACGCCCGACCTTGCCCTGCGGTTTCCGGAAACTAGTACCTCCGAGGTACTAGTTTTTTGCTGCGCGTTTTCAGCGGGAAGCCTCGGTTGTGCCGCGGAAGCGCTACACTTCCCAGATGTGCCGGTGAGATCGTGCCCGGAAAATCCGCCTGTCTTCCATCTCTCTTGCGTGGCTAATGTTCCATGTGACCACAGCCATAGTAGGGAATCCAAGAAGCCAATGTGGATGAACAGAGAACTCCGTGATATACTAAGGGAGGAAAAGGAAATGTTCAAGAAATGGAGGCAAGGACATACCTCCAAAGAAGAGTATCTGCAGGTTGTTAGGGACTGTAGGTCAGCCATCAGAGAGGCCAAAGCTCACAGTGAGCTAAAGCTGGCCAGGAAGGCTCGCTACAATGAGAAAATCTTCTTCAGTTATCTGAGGAGCAAATGTAAAATAAAAGAGGTGATGGGCCCACTGTTGGGTGAAAATGGAGAAACACTGACAGAGAGAAAGCTGAAAGGCTTAATGCCTATTTTGCCTCAGTTTTCTTCCTGAAGAGAACACGCTCATCTAGAGATGGTAGTAGGCAAGCCACGATGTCCGGGCTGCTGGTTGACATGGACAAAGAGGTAGTTGAGAAGCACCTGGCTGCATTGAATGAGTACAAATCCCTTCAGGCCAGATGGTATGCACCTAAGAGTACTCCAAGGACTTTCTAGGGAGCTTGCAGAGCCTTTGTCCATCATCTTCCAGACCTCTTGGAGGACAGGAGACATGCCACAAGACTGAAGGAGGGCAGATGTTATCCCAGTTTTCAAAAAAAGGAAGGAGGAATGACGCAGGAAACTACA